CTGAACTGGCTGCACTAGTTCAGAGTTTATCTTTCTCCTTTCAATATGGAAAGAAAAAGATAAACTCTGAACTAGTGCAGCCAGTTCAGCTATAAAGAACAGACCTATTAATACATGTTAGTTACCAAAGATGTCACCATTGACCAATAAGCGTCGCCATCTTTCCAGTAATAACCAGAAATAACCAGCACTTTTCAATTAGTAATTGCCATTTTGCGACTGGCGACAGGACATTTGCTCATTGCGGAATGGCCCTAAGGATTTTAGAATCTGTACTTTAAAAGTAGAGTCTCTACTACTAAAAAAGGAGATAGAGCTAAACTGCTGCTTTCTTCGTCATCTCGCGCACTTGTGTTAGATATGCATATGTTAGATATGAGAGAAAACCCATTCTAGTACATATGTGTTCAATGGTTTTAACAGATTTTATTGCAGCTTTCCTCTTTCTTCCTTCAAATATTAAATACATATATATTTATTTTATTTCAAATATAGAAAGTGTACATGGACAACTAAACTGAACTGATTTACTGTGTATTTCTGTGTTGCCAATGCAGAACGTAAAATAGATGAATAATTTCGTGCGACGAAACGTGAATACGGGAACGCTGTGACAGGAAACATCGTAATGGCTGGTAATGGCGGAACAAATGCGAGCTGTCAAAATAAGTTTCATCAACATAGGTTGTGTTTCATCGCCGTAGATTAAAGTAATCCGTGAACGAGCAACGTGTTATACATTGTGCTGCTTTTGTTTCGAAGATACTGATTAATTGTGAAATCTATCGAGTTTCTGCCAAGATATAATGATGAATAATCATTGCCGCAGGCGGAGCAACAATTTCACGTACGTCAGTTCGTGCGTGAAATACATGATCTTCATGCTGAATTTCGTCTTCTGGGTAAGCAATTTATTCGTATTCTTGCATTTTTGCATAACGATTTATTTTCTACATTGGTAAAAATGCAGTATATAATTTGTTACTCAATGATGAGATGGAATATATATTAGACGTCACAAATCGTTATTTATTTTTATATAAATCGCAAAAAAGACATTAAAGATAATTAATGCGGAAATAAAAATAGTTATTATTTAATATGAATATAATGATGATAATTTAGTATAATTTTTTTTTTGTTTAGCTATTTGGAGGATTGTTGATTGGTGTAGGTCTCTATGCATTTGTTGATAAGTGGCAAGCAACTGGATCCGTCAGAGTAGAAAATGTTTACGATGTGGTCTTGAACATATCTCTAGTGATGCTGATAGCTGGTGGAGTAGTCTTTGTTGTTAGTTTTGCAGGATGTGTAGGAGCTCTTCGTGAGAACACATGCCTTCTTAAATTTGTTAGTTTCACAATATAAAAAATATTCTTTTGACTGATGTAAAATATATTTAATTAACTAATCAATGAACTCTTTTAGTATTCTCTATGTCTTCTGGTGTTCTTCCTTCTGGAGATGGGTGTGGCGATAGTAGGTTTTGTATTCCCACACACATTGCAGACTCTTTTGGAAGAATCATTTACAGATAAAATAATTCAAACATACAGAGAAGATCCAGATCTGCAAAATTTTATTGATTTTGGGCAACAAGAAGTAAGAATGGAATTATATAGTGATAAATATATTCTTTTATGAAGAAAATTTTTTTTCCTGTAATACTTTAATTTGTGAATATTTTGAGATACCCTATATAAGTTTTTGCACAGCTTGTAAATATTTTATGCACACAGCAATATTCATAAAATTTTGTGTTATAGTTTAAATGTTGCGGCTTGAGCCAAGAGGGATATTTGGATTGGGGAAAGAATGAATATTTCAATTGCACTAGCCCTAGTGTAGAACGCTGCGGCGTGCCGTTCTCTTGTTGCATAAACGCCACCGATATATCCGTATGTATTATCTGCCGTAAATACGAAAAAGATATTTTTTAATCAAAGGATATTTTCATTATTTTCAAACAACAAGTCAATGATATCTTTAAACACAGTATCTATTTCTTCAATGTCCTGACGAAATAATTTCAACTTGCAGAGCGGACTTGTAAACATAATGTGTGGTTACAAGGTCCAAATGTTACCAGTATCGGAAGCAAGTAAAAAAGTCTGGACCAGCGGATGTATCGAGATCGTACGTAGTTGGGCGGAACGCAATCTCTACACGATAGCTGGTATTGCTTTGGGTATCGCGCTCAGTCAGCTGTTCGTAATCTATCTTGCAAAGACACTAGAAGGCCAGATCGAGCTGCAGAAATCTCGCTGGCATTCCTGAGCTTGACTTCAGGCCACCTACCGTTACCAGATACATTCTCCGGCCAACAGGCAGGTGGCCAACGGCAACCGATCGCGCGGATCACAGGAAGCAGAGACAAACATAAACGCGCGAATGGCATTGCTCGTTCTCTTTGCGATCTCTTTATACATATTGTGCATCCTGTCCCTCATCAAACTCGTCCTTTATTTCAAAAATTACTTTCAACTGTACATGAGTAAAGAATAATCGTTACGATTAACGAGGATTCTTTATTCACTAGTAAGTAAAGAATACATACTAGTATCTCCTTTACGATTAAGTATTATCAAAGATCTTACTTACATAGAGATTACGGATACAAAAATGGTGTCCTGTACGTTTAAAATCAGCAGTAACAGTTCGTTTATAATACTCAAAGAACACGTATTTTCGCTTATGTAGTTAATTGAACTGCTATCGTCCTTACAAAAGTCGGCAAGTCATATGTTATAAGATCGTATCTTTGTGAATACGGCTGCACAGGGCACAATTGATGCATCCGATACATGGAACTGGTAACTCAAATGCGCAAAAGACAAAAGTGAGAGACATTTATCATAATAATGAACTTTATACTATATATTTCGTTGATAATCGTATCATACACTTCGTTATATTATACGATGTTGCAGAGATGTCCCTGAATTTAACGATTACCCATATAATATCTATATTTCTCGAATCGGTATACTTGCATTGAATGTGTATATTTTATTTTCTTTTATTATTATTATTATATTTTTTTTTTTTTTATTATTTTATTTTATTATTTTATTTTATTATTTTATTACGATTTTGGTCTCTTTTATTCGATATATAAGGAAAATTCACTTAATTAAAATAATCAGATCTGATATTATATTATTAATAAGTTAATTACAATATAATATACGGCATATAATTTCATTGTTTTCAGCACATTGACACAAAATTGTTTTAACGGTTAACATTGATGTACTAATAAAGTGATACACGAGCTTGTTTTTATAGAAAAATAGGGTAATGTCTCGAGAGTTATGTGGATATTTTCATTCGTTGTGTATTAATATATGTGTAGAACGCAATGAATTTAAAATTAGAATTGAATGAATATCATCTTGTAAATGAATCTTGAAAATTATTTAGTTTACTCGTTAGATATAAAATTTTTATCGAATTTTTGTTAATTTTTTTTTCCCATTCTTAAATATATTTGGACATTGCACGCATTTGACAGACTAATATATATATTTATATGTAAACAATTATTGTGAAACAATTGCTCATTATTTTTTTATAATCAATAATTATTAATATAATATTACTCTTATAAGTGGATACATGCGCACTATCGAACAAAACTTATGATATTGATAATTATAAATGGTATTTCATTACCCAGTGTATGTGATGCCATATCTATATTATAAAAACATGAATGAGCGCACATTTACTTGTATATTTATATTACTAATTTCATTTATATTTCTTATCACATTAACGTGACACATATAACACGAGAAACGTCCAGTGCCAAAGTCAGAATATTGTTATTCTTTTATTTGAAGCAAATTTGACAATAATCTGGTATGGATGATTTGTTTAATGCATTTAGGTGTCTCTTTGTCGAGAATAAATGATATAACTGACATAAAACCTAGTTTGTAATAAATAAGTATTATTCTAAAAACTGCGTTTTTTTGTCATTACCAATAAATCAAATTATCAATAAAAATACCGCATAAATTACAGATGATATAAAAAGCCATTACATTATTTCCATAATATGATCGTTTATTTGTTAGACTTGTGCTGTATAATTATATTATAAAAAAACTATCAGGAAAAACAAAACCACAGTAGTACAATAGAGATCTACTTATATAAAGACATATCTACAGATATATTGTCAGAATATTCCAGAATAATATGCTGTCCATCGACAATAGTAGAATCTTCAAATAATTTTGTCAAAGGTGTATCCATTTCGCCGCATATTAAAGCTCCATTAGAATGATGGAACAATCGCAATTTATTTGTGGCGACTGCATTATTGTCATTTGGAACTTTGAGTGTGTCAGCTATTGAATCTATACATTTGCCAATAGTCCATTGTGCATTGACAAAAACACCTTTGGGTGTGCATATATGTTTATTCTTAACCGTGAGGGGTAAACTCACAAGGAAATAACACCTTTCGCTCATTGATACATTTTTGGGACCAATCGCAGAACCTTTAACACGCATAAGTTGTACCTATAAAACAGAGAAAGACAGAAATTTGTCAACGTTCCTTGGTATACTCATTTTTTTATATAATATATAATAATATTTATAAGTACTTTATTCGCCATTGCTGTATTTTTCGACTTCTTCAAGCTGTCTGCAATTTGTTTATCTACTATTGCCTTTGCTTCTGCAAATTGCTTTTTTGGTATTTGCCATTTCTTCAGCTTTTGAATTTTTTCTGTTTCATCTAGTTCCAAACATCCGTGATGTCTGTGTGCCAGGCAAAAATGTTGTTTACATTTGATGCAAGGCATTTCTACTGGCGATGTTTCCTTGCAAGATTCTTTAGAACACAAAAAATTGACTGGCTTTTCTAAAATAGGCTTTGGATTCTCTGCCTTTAAACACTCGTGCGATATTGTATGAAAATGTTCTTTACAGAAAGTGGCTTGACAATGCTCACACACAAATGGCAAAAAATCTAACAACTTGCAATCTTTTATTGAGCAACGTTTTCCAGTTTCTGGAAATTCCATTGTGATGCAATTATAAATATAGACTGTAATTAGATCTGATTCTTAATGATTCTTCAAACACTTGGAAGATCCAAAATGTTCAATTATGCAGAGGCGTTGGAGAGTGCAAATGATTGTCACTGAGAGAACTTAAAGCCAAATTACTCCATTTCTGTTCTAACTCCTTTAATGTCATGTGAGAATCGCCGTTATCACTCTCGGGATCAGGCAATTCAGCTACTGGTGTTGAGATGTCGTCGATAGGCAAACGTTCCTTGCGCCAAGCTTCATCAATCACACCTATCAGTCTACCGTCTCTGCATACCTGACTGTCCATATTGTAAATGACAGTCAACACAAGCTTAAGAAAATATTATTATTCTTGTAATGTACTTATAAACAATTCAACAATCTAACAAATTTTATGCTGTTTGAACATTGATTATAAAATCGAAAATAATTGTGCCAATCCACATTTTTATTTTAAAATGTAAAATATTTATTAATATATCTATATAATCGCTAAAAATTTTCAAAGCATGAATAGCAATTATTGATTTCTATTTTTAGCAATTACTATATAATGTTAACGGTTTCTAAACACTTACCAGCTGTCAAAAAACTCGGAAGATTTTGCAATTCGTTATATTCGCTAATATTTGATCTCAGATACTTTGAAATCAGTAGAATTAGTAAAATTACTGTTGTATGAAATACTGAAGTAATGAATTCTATTGCCAATGAAATAACGACAATATTTAGTTAGAGAACACAGTGATCACACAACCATCTGCATTTACTGAAAAGAAAACTGTTCCCTAAATGGTCTTCTGCCATCGATTGTGTCTCACGCAATGTAGTGAAAATTACAAAATTGAGCAAATTTACTAGATTGTTGACCAATAAGATCATAGATGGTTTAGTAAATTTGCTTACTTTTGTAATTATCACTACATTGTGTGATACACAATCGATGTACTGACCAATTTTAGAACATATTCGCAAATTTTCAGAACCACCAACGTTAAAAAAGAAATTCTCCATGTTTGTAGTTGATATCAATGTCAGTGCATTATTTACTGAAATAGAGCCCATGTTGAAAGGATTGGATATCGAATAATTTCTTGTCGAATATTGTATTCTTTCGCAAGGATGACTGAACCGCATAGTCATTTAGGCTTAGCAAATCCACGGACCTGAGCTCATACATTACGATCATACACACATACACACATATACCTACACTCACACGTTCGATACGTCTGCATCAGATTATGCACCTTGTTGCAGCAATTCGCGAGCGATTTAGTAAACTAAAAATGCACCGTACAGCACACAGAATTTCTAGTAATTATTATTATTTTAATTATAACTAATATTATTTGAATATTTAATCTAGCATCTTCAATCATAAAGCAATTTTACAAAACTCGAAGGCTGTATATGAGGCATCCTCCTATTAGGATATAAAGTTAACTCCAACTTGCAAGTTATTTGTTATAAAAAATACATTATTCTAATTCTAATTCTAATAAAATAAAAAAATTATTGAATTTTATTTAAAGAAAGAATGTCTTTATTAACAAGCAACTACTAATAGCAATATTTTTATATGATGTGTAACATTACCTAATAAAGTTTATTATATTTGTAAAAGTACGTACAACTAACGTTGCAGATCTATGGTTGCATCTGTACAGTTTTCATTAAACAGAAATTCACTTTGTGAGTTGTACGAACTTTTAGGAACATTCACAAGTGATATATTACAACAAGTAAATAGCTTTTCTTTACTTTTTCTGTTTAAAAAAATACTATGTACAAGCTACATGTACTTTAACACACATTTGATGACGGTGTTCATGAAAACCGTTTATCAAACTTCTAGACGGATATATGTCACACAATAAGAATTTCCCTATAAAAGATATAAAAAATAATGATTCAGAGACTTTCTTTGGAGCAAAAATATCACCCATGCTTTAATCCACATTTCTGGTCCACTTGAAAGCTGCTATTGTATCGTATATGGTTTGTGTTGCTACATCCTTATCATAATCCTCTTTCAAGTAGAAAATTTTAATTTTTCCTTCCATGTGACATTCCAGAACGTTCCATTTTTCGAAAAGCTTGAAGGAGTTCTTTATCGGGTCGACGCATAAACTCTCCCCTATCGTATCAAAGGAATATCACGATATTTCAATAGGAAAAAATATCTTTACTAGATCTGTATAAGCACACTTATGCAATACAGAACTGCAGCATAATTATTTTTTATGTAATTAAATGTTTAAGTCTAATTGGGGTAAATTTTATGTATATGATAACTCACCGTAATTAATTATACCTCCATCCAAATTGGTTTTAATTTCGCTCAGCACTTCTTGGACTAAATCTCGCTCGCAGAGCTCTCGGCCGACTAACTTCATTAAATTAAAAGCGCTGCACGTATACGTATCAATTAATGGTCGCAACATCGTATGAAGGAATTCCATACGAGCGGAGTGTTCTGGCGTTAAGCTCAGCTGGAAACAATTCAGAATAGTTATATAAATTGAAATTATTTTTAATGTAACACAAGAGTATGATTAAATATTCACGTATACATGCAATATTAAAGCAATTTACTTTATATTCGATTTTCTGGATATCGCGTTCTCTCGAATATTCCTCGTCCGAACTGTCATCAAAAGTCTTCGCGTACCTTTTACTCCAGAGTTCATCCTCAAGATAAGCTTCCTGTTAAATTAATTTTTTTTATAACGTATCAAATAAAAGCGATCCCGATCAAAATAAGCGTACCTCTTTTTGGTTTATAATGCCCGTGTGCGACAAGTTCTGTATTGTTTCAAGAACTATATCTCTCAGTTCCTGGCAAGGCCTGCAGAAAATAAACTCATACCTAAGAATGTCGCACAACTTAAGTGCTCGTTCAAGCAGATTGTGTTGGTACACTGTAATATTATTTTCGGCGATCGCGATGGGATCGTTAATCTGGGACTGCAATTCAGCATACAAAGCAGTTACTGAAAATATAACAGATTTTGCATTACAAAATCAAACAGCGTCGTCGATGACGTTGGATGTCTTACCTATCACACTGTTTAAAACATAGTGCAACAGCATGGTATTGCTGTAGTACGACAGCTCAATCACATTCGGCAGAATCGATGCAGGACGGATTGCAATGACAACATTCGATTTGTAGGATTGACCGCCATCGACGGCTTCGGTAATTTCCTGTCGCTGCTGCGTCACCAAGCCCGGACCCAGGATAATCAACTGCAAATTCGATGATTAATAAATTTGCTCGATTCGTTCTCGGCAACTCCCTTCACTTATTGTCTACTAACTGCGTGTTTAATGATATCGACGCTTTCCCCGCAAAATGCTACATCTTTGTCGCTGAATTCCAGCTCTTGCCGTATCGAATCGAATGCTTCTATTAATTTGTCTAATGTACAACCATCCCTAAACCTATTTAATAGTAAAAATGCAACAACATTGGTCGACATAATCGGCATAGACTTGGACGAATCTGAAAGCAATTAGATAACATGAGATTAATAAAGAATTAATTCGCATGTGCTTAATAAGAGATTCAATTTATAAAATATACTGCAGATAAAAGCAGCCAATCATCACTTTGACTTACCGTACACAACATGCCGAGCGATACTGTCCACCAATTGGCGATGTTCTTCCACAATGACATCTGTACCGTAAAGAGACGAATTCGACATGCTGTATTTTAAAGATCGTTCCGAAGGAGATCTTATTAGCAATTTATTTTGCTGAGTCTGGAAGGTCTTCACCATTTCCTGTTGATCACCGCTTCGCGTTAGCAATTCTTATCATCGTGGCAAATTTTATTCAACGCAGAGGAAATTCATTCTTACCCTGAGAGAAAAAGGTTGACACAAATCGATTTTGACGATACCATAATGGCCAATTAAAGTCGCCCATATAGCACTGATCGCCGACGTAAAGGTCTCCATTTTCTTCGGCTGCCCTAATTGTTCCGTAACAAAATTCCCATCCACCAATCGTTCATAGTTGATCGCTATGGGTATCAACAATGCGTCCTCAATAGTGCCATCCATGTAAGCGTCGACGATAACACTCAGAATGCCGCTTTTCGGCATGCAAGGCTTGCCGGTTCTTGTGCGGCCACCTTCCACGAAGAACTCCATGTTGTGTCCGGCACGAAGACTCTCCATGATGTACGTTTGTAGGGTCGCGCGGTAGAGAAGATCCTTGCGTCCTGCTACTGGATCGATACGCCGCTTGATGTAGAAAGCTCCTAGACCTCTCAGAAACCATCTATCCATCAATTCCATATCAAGAATTACAATGTAGATTATTAGTTTTTCCACTATTGACGAGATCAAAAAACTATTGTTTCATTAAATATTTATTAGTACGATTAGTATAGTGCTATATTTTGAGCTTATACCCGAAAAATGGAATCTTCAAATTGTCCCCTGCCGCGATTAACGGGTTTTTTATGTTATTCACGACCATCAGGAAGCTGATCATTATGTAGTCCAAATGGCTGCGATGGAGAGGCAGCAGCACGAGCGGTAGGCCGGTATCATTCGCCTTTTTCAGCAATTCCATCTGAGAAGGCAACACGACGGCGGATTGTATAAAACAGGGCAGCAATTTGTAGCAAAGCCATGCAACTATTTTCAGCAGCACGTCGCTGCATCTGCTTTCCATTTGTTGTAATATACTCCTGGCCCTGGCTTTCGTCTTCGCGAATGCTTTCTCTTCGCTGCAAGCTTCATTGTTGACTACCTCGAAAGTGGTTAGTTTGATAGCATCTTTCAATCTTTCGTCGTTTAAGACCTGTGGCATACGGAGAATGAGCTTAAATGAAAGCAAAAACTACTCATCGTTCAAGACTTACCGTTTCCGTAACCATCGGATAGTCATATTTTTTGAAACTGGAAACGGTAGACACATAATTGAACAGCTTCGATATAAGCGTAGAGCCCGGTTTCACCAGAAGTATGTTGAAACCAAACGATTGTTGCTGTTGCTTGAGTACAGTATCCACTAACAAATCCTGCGTACACACAAAAATATATAAAATATTACTTGACATTCATTTTCTAGGAATACATCTCTCGAGAATATATACAGATTATTTCTCAAAGTCACCGAATCTTCTAATCAAAGCTCATTTAGAATCGGTTTTTCCATCTAACAAAAATGTTCAAGATATTTTATATTAAAACATAACTGTGCTATCTTTTTTGCATTCCTATTAACTCACATTTTCTGGATATCCACGAACGATTACAATGCGCCACCACCACCGTAATAAAAATGCACGCGGTTCCTCGCACATTTTTTTTAACATCAGAATAATAAATACATGTTTTTCATCAGAAAGATAATCGTACTGCTATCATCACTATTATATAATGACAATCATTTTTATAAACATTGTCTACGATAAATTTGTAAATGCAACTTTGTCATCGCTTTAAACACAATTTCCAAAACATAAATTTCTCACGTGAATTTTACAAGAACATAAAGTTGGTCTCTGGTTATCGAAATAAATAATAGAATTATATAAAAATCATAGCTGTCTAAAATATTTGTCACTTCGTGCTTCAGGCCGAAGCTCGCGTTTATACGACATCAATGCGAACGTGCGTGCTAATTGCCGTTATTTGAAGATAATAGAATGATGAGAGGCGGCTAAAGAGTTACATAATTAAATGCGTATTAGGACGGTATGTCTTCTAATTAGGTAACGAGAACACAACAGCTGCAGTTCTGCGTGTACCGCGAGAGCACTGCTGGCTCAAATTTAATCCGTGCAATTCTGATCTGTTGAAAGCACTGGAAGTTCAATTTATGCTGCTGTAATAATATATCGCAGTCACGATGGGGTTATACATACGAATGATGCCACATAGACATGTGCGCGTGTTTTACGCAAATTAAATAATAAAATGCCGTTGAAAGAAAAGTCGTCTCGGAATCTCTTGGAATCTCTTTAAAGGCGACTGATAATCTTTAAGCGACTTATTTGAATCGTCATCACTCGCTATATTCTTTCACACTTTTACGATCACTCTAGCTGTGTGTCGAAAATAGATCACAGACGTGACAGCGCGCAAAGTAGTTTTATCAAATGTGTACCGATAATATCGATAATACAGTCTGGCTTGATTTAATAAATGGCATTTAATACAAATTATTATGAGCATTCTATGGATAAAATGTGACACAAAAATTGTAAGAAATAATATGCAAGGTTGTTTGTGAAATCTACGTGGTGACACAGACCGAGTGTAGTATCCGGCTAAATAATTTCGACTAAGTGTATTTTTAGTGTACGATGCCATCTGAAGAAACCCTTCTTGCAATTTTATACACTAACCACAGCTTACGTGCCCGACTATTTCTTTTATTTTTTATTATCACACAGTTTGACTGCAATTACAAAATGCAACTGTCGTCGTGACTTGCATTTGCGAACTGAAAGTGCAATGAGCTGTGTTTGAACGTATATAGATTCGTTGTCAGTCTATTATATTTTTAATAAAACAATTTAAAATTAATTATTATGATTATTTAGAATTTTAAGTCAAAGAAAATAGGCTAATATTCGGCAGCAATCAAAGTCGAAACAATGAAGTCGCTGGTATTTAACGATAAGTTTGGCAAGTTAAATAGTTTAAACGATGACTACACCGCTCCAATTCAATATGCCCGATGCACGCCCACGCGTGAAATTGCGCGACAGCTACACATCGACAATTAACACGCGAAAATTGATGATCGATAATGGCTTGATTTTAAGTCATTTCAATTAAAAAATCGCATTTATTAAAATTAGCTTTTATTAATGTTATATTTTGCGTAATAAGCTTCTATCATAGCTAGATCATAGTTCAAGAGTTTTTTTTTTTATATAAATAGAAAATTTAACATTTGCAAACATGTTAATTCTACTGATTTAGCACTTTCAAGTGTTACGCGTGGCAATCATACATGTTATAATAAGCAAAATAGAAAGAATTTTGACCAGTAATTTTTTCGATATAATACGACACGCGATTTCCGACATATGCACCGCGCGCAATAGTTATCACGAGCGCGAAAGTGACAAATAGTTTTTTTGCAGAGCGTAACAACAAATCAAGACAACTCACTCGGGAAGCAGGCGTGCAAGTGTTGCAGCAATACTGCAAAAACGAGGACTTCTGCTTGATCGCAGGCGCCAAAGGCTCAGTCTCCTTGATCTTGAACAACGAGCTCTCACGTATCTTACGTGACTGTTCTTTGTCCTGAATCTTTCGTCGATGGAACTGTTGTCCAGCTCGCTTGAGATCTATAATTATAAAGCATATTTAGCAGGATGTTAAAGTGCATTTTGCAAAAGTCCATTTGGTACAAAAAAAAAAATCTTACCGTCTAGTGAATATCGAGTGGTCGCTGGTTCGACATTTCGTGTAACTTCCGTCCTGGTTTCCCATTTGGCATATACCTCCTGCAGACGCGTAGATAACACGTCCACCATATTATTGGGTCTAAAATTAATTAAAAACAAAAATAAGGAATTAATTGAAGGAAGAAAAATGGTTCATAATAGGAAAAAAAAACGAATCTTGTTCGTGACAATCTTGATTAAACAGAGTTTTATCGTGTCGCAAAGTAAGACTAGTTTATCGGTTAATTTATGATAAACATTACATACAATTTGCAAATTTTTTTGTGTAAAAAGTGAATCTAAAATCAATCAATCCGCTATCGAATCCGCAATTGCGTGACATGATGCGTGACTCGTCACGGACTCGTCGTCAACTTAATGCATTGTGCGATTCGAAAAATCATGAAAGCGGAAAATCTTCCACATAATAATTACGAAAGCAAATTGCCAAGATATACCAATCACGCTTCATTCGCGAGATAGAACAAATGTTAATAATACGTGATATCTATTCTTCTCATTTTTTACGCACTTTTTCTTTTACCAAATGTCTCAAGCAAATAAATATTTTTCAGTATTGAATTATCAATAGCCTTTTATTTATAACAGATTGAATATCATTATTATTCAAATACTTAAGAAATAAATCTTTTTCAATATTATAAAGCATAAATAATTATACACTGTCATATATTTAATGTGTAATTACGAAATAATCATCGGATCTCTAAGTCCGGTTTTACATCGAATTCATTCGCAAATAAAATAGAATCATTTCATTTATGTCAAATGAATAGCAAATTCAATCAATTAAAAAATCGCATTTATTAAAATTAGCTTTCATTACAAAATGTTATATTTTGCGTAATAAGCTTCTATCAAAGCTATATAGATCATGGTCCAAGAGTTTTTTTTTTATATAAATAGAAAATTTAACATTTGCAAACATGTTAATCTTTCTACTGATTTAGCACTTTCAAGTGTTACGCGTGGCAATCACACATGTTATAATAAGTAAAATAGAAAGAATTTTGACCAGTAATTTTTTCGATATAATACGACACGCGATTTCCGACATATGCACCGCGCAATAGTTATCACGAGCGCAATCATCCACGAAGACCGTACTTTATGGTGATGGTTCAGAAGCGAGAGATTGCCATGAGTTACCGTCGATTAGACTCATACGATCCCGGCAATGACGTAGCACGTTTAGGACATGAGAGAAACACTCGACAAAGAAAAAGCGTAGCACGTATAAGTACACATGAAGAATAAAAAATATGATTAATATTCGTGCAAAAAAAAATAAATACAATTAAAAAAATACATTTTTATGAATTATCTTCCATTGTTCCACAATAATATTTGACATTTCCTAAATGTCCAAATAATTTTCAGCATCGAGATTTAAATCCAGCAATATGACGATGGTTTCAATGTCCGTTCGTTATCTTGATACATTTGTTTTTGTAGATATGATATAAATAACAAAGAACATTTAAAAATAAAAAAATTAAAAATAAGATAGCAGTTTGTCTCAAATCGGATATTTGTCTCAAAAAGAAAGAAGCTGAACACCGCACACAGAAGAAACGGAAAAGTAATAAGATTATTTTAATGTTCCCATTAGTAGAATACTTCGTGACAAAAGCGCAATAATGCTGACATGCGAGCATATAATAATTGCTTTTGAACGAGTGACCTTTCGAATTAATCGTACAACACTATATAGACTTAATTTAACGTGACTTCTCTTGGCATTAGATTACAAGAAGGCAAAGAAAACCTTCGAAAGTATTCTGCTAATCGAGACATATATATTGTGTGTGCATGTATCGCTTTAAAGCGAGCGTGATTATCGCCAGAGTTTGCCAACATTATGAAAAATAAACGGATGCTGCAAAATGTGTGAATGGGAAAAGTTCTGGCGTGATACATGATGAAATATGGCACTATCGTATCGTATTCCTAATCTAATGACAATGCTCTCACAATAGTTAATGTAATGATGCATGACGGTCGCAATGCGCAATTTTTGCATTCAATAGACAGGAATTCTTGTATATACGCGGTATAAACTAGAAATGTTCACCCTACAACGGGGTCAAATTACGATATCTATTGCTATCATCAAATTTATCAAATACGATGATAATAAAATTTAACTATTCACACATCAATTATTGTATAACATTAGGAATATAATATAATTATACAAAAAAATATAAAAAATGAGTTTTTTTTTCTATTTTCCAACTTGTTTCTTTATGAGCTGTCTCTGTGAAGAAATGCAAGAATTTTTAATTAAACGCATATACAGTATTTGTGAATAATAATATTACTAGTTATGCATAAGTATGATCTTTGTTCGTCGCGGATAAATAACAGTTATTTGCGAAGTATTAATCTTCAATTATATTATTGAAGAAACAATGTTATCGCGAGGAATTACAAATCAAATGTATATGGAATCTTTGGTTACAAAGATCTCGTGCGTACACAGTATCGCGTATCAGTTATATAAAGTGGGGATTAAATGTTGCTCTATGTGAGAAACGAGTGTATCTATTCCCTTGTATTTCAGCTAATTTGTGTGTGTCTACATACATAAATGCATGCTGTACATATTATATTATCGCGCAACAATATTGGTAATCGTTCAGATAATGACAAGCGTATATCGATAATATTTTTGAGTACTTCAGCCCAATTAAATATAGGCTAAAAATAAGAAACAGAAAAGACAAGTGTTTGGACATATTAATAACTGTCAAAGTCCACTCATTGATAACTTTATCGCGCGAATAATGCGCGCATAAGGAAATTCGATCACAGCGGGAGGGTGAGGGAAAACGCAGAGCGGAAAAGAACGATGCAATCACATAATTCAAGAAAAGTAGAGATTGTTGCTCTGAAATGAAACATAAATGTCTCTTGAACAGATGGATGGAACAATGGAAGTGAGAACATGAGTGAGGAGATAGTCTCTTTCGTCTCTTTTTCAAAAGCCTGTCAAATCATTTCAACACATTGATAATTCGTATCATAATTTGTATATCATATGCGTAACTATAAAGTTTATGCTTTCTATAAAGTATTCAACTGAATTTGACATCTTGACTAAATAAAACTTATCGATTAAATTTATTATACCATATTCTTTTATTGAATTAGCAAAGACAATGCAATATCATTTAAATTAGACCGCCAACAATAATCAGAATTTAATAATTACGAATGTAAAATTGCAATTAATATAATTTATATAATGCGTTTTTACAAAAATAACACAATAAAAACACAAACCAGATATTTTTAAGTGTTCATAAACTAGCCATTTTAATTAGTTCTTTATATTGCAAAAACAAAATGAAAATTTTTGACTTTTCGTGATGAGAGTTGAAAGCACTTATTCCAGTTATTAGCATTGTGTTAACTGCGCTTTAATTTTGGAATCGAGACCGTCTGATATATCACGCTCACTGTGTTTTGCTAGTTTGCTTGACGTCAATATAGATTTATGAACTTGTTTCCGTCGTGACAGGTCAGGTTATCGACATCAAAACTTCTGTACTGTTGACGAAACTAAAATACATCCAGTAATAACATAATTCACTAGTTTATCGAACTCAATGGGCAATCGATATAATCATAATGGAAACTACCGATTATTCACAGCAAACAACGTCCTTGGCATACAATGTACGCGTCAAAAATAAAAATTTTTTTTAATATAAATAAGAATACAATTTTTGCATGAATTTTTGCGACATTGGTTTCAAAATGTATAAAATTACATCGCGTATTTTCATTGGA